TGGGTGTTACCTTCTGATTGCAGCTTGTATAAAAGACCAAGGCAGAGAAGAATGCCAGGCTTCTTGCTACTTGCCTTCACTCTCTCTGGTGAGTTTGTCTTGCTGCTGTAGACTGAAGACTAGCTGATCTTTTGGATTTTGTCAGACCTTCAGCACCAGGTTGGGACTACTGAGACATCCAGCCTTGTGGACTGAGTGACTAAGGATTCTCAGCCTCTCCAGTGTGGTGCAGCCATTGTTGGACTACTCAGACTCTATCCTGTGAGCTAAGCTGCTAAATCTTTATACACATATATTCATTCTGCTGGTTCTGTTTCTTTGGAGAACCCTAACTAATACACCGTGTTTCCAGGCAGCAGCCTCTGCATTTAAAAAAAAAAATTTATTTATTATTCTTATTTTATGTGTACAAGTGTATTGCCCTGCATGTATGTGAGTGCACCTGTGTCATGCAATGTGGAGGTCAGAAGAAGTCTTTGGATTCCCCTGGAACTGGAGTTAAGAACTGTTCATAGCCTCCATGTGGGTGCTGGGAATTGAACCCGGGTCCTCTGCAACAGCAGTCAGTGCTCTTAACCGCTGAGCCATCTCTCTAGCCCCAGCCTCTGCATTCTTGAGGCTCAGCTTCCAGGCCTGCAGCCTCAACAGCAGAGGCACTGCTGCCTAAAGTGCACAGGGAGACTTCCAAGGTCAAGAACATGCTGCAGCCCCCATTTTGAAAGTGTTGCCATTGTCCTTCATGTAGCAATCAGTGCTCTCCTGTTACCAGAATATAATAAAAGTCATATGTGAGATGGGAATTTGGAGAGGATTCATACAATCAAGCATACGTACTTGGTGTGTGTGTGTGTGTGTGTGTGTGTGTGTGTGTTATTGGGGATTGCCCCAGGGCTTTGCACATGATAGGCAAGCACACTACCACTGACTTACATAACCAATCTTAGTATATAATACTCTGATAGCAAAAGTCAAAGGAACAGATTTCCCTTCTAAGAACATTTCCAACACAGCAGGCATTACTGTGTGGTGGTCAGAAATATTCTAGAGTCAGAAATTCTGGATTTTGCTTTTTGTTTTCTCACAGCCTTGTAGCTCTTGAAAAGTCCTGGATTTTAGGAACTATCATTTTCCTTATGGAAAAATGCAAGTATAAAATGTGCCCATTTTACTGGCTCATTGTCATGGTTAGGAGATCTAATGCATGTGGAAATTTTAGAATAGTAACAGGCATATGAAAGAATTAGACATAAATGATTACTATTAATGTATACTTTAGAAAGGCTTCTGTAATAGAACTAAAGAATTCTGATAAGCACTTGCAAAGTTCATATTTTATGCTTATTTCTTGACTTATGTGATGCCAGTTCAAAAGTTATATGTTTACTTTTTTGTTTCAAGTTATGACACAGGCTTTTCTGATTAATCTAGCAGCTAGAAAGACAGCCAAGTGGTGGTAATAACACCACAAGAATATGTGTGGCTGATTGAGATTAGGAATGATATTTAATAAATATTAATGTTAATAATTTATTAATAAACAAACACCCCAAAAGGATAAACACACATGCATTTCCTCCTCTCTCTCTCTCTCTCTCTCTCTCTCTCTCTCTCTCTCTCTCTCTCTCTGTGTCTGTATCCTTTTGGGGGGTTTTGAGACTCATTATATAGCCCAAACTGGTCCTGAACTTGAGACCCTCCTGTCTTAGTCACTGGGAAGCTAGGAGTAAAGGCATGCGGCACCCCACAGAGCTGCTGATTAAGACCTCAAACTGTGGAACCAGACAAATTGCATTTCAACTGCTTTTATGCTTTACTTTCGCCCTCCTTTTTACATTTTTGTTTGCTTGTTTCCTTTTGTTTTTATTTTTGTTTTGTTTTGTTTGCTCCTTTCTGGTTTTTTGACAAAGGGTCTCCCTGTGGCCCCTGCTGGCCTGGAAATCACTTTGTAGACCAGACCAGGTTGACCTCCACCTCTCAGAGATCTGCCTGCCTCTCCTCCCAAGTGCTGGGATTAAAGGTGTCCCACCACACCCAGCCTGTTTGTTCGTTTAGAGGCAGAATTTCTTGTTGTCCAAGCTGGCCTTGAGCTCTCTAGGTAACAGATGTTGGTCTTGAATTTCTGATCCTCCTACCTGTACCTTAGGAGTATTGAGATGACATGTGCGTACCCATGCCCAGCCAGGGTTGTCTTAACTTCAAAAGGTCCACCGAATATATGTCTGACCTATGTTATGTGTTATAGTCAGATGGAGAAACAGGGAGGAAGTGGGGCCTATACAGGGAAGTGAAGGGAAAGGAGGGCCTTCGAAGGAAAGCCCTGCTCTTTGTGTTTGCTTCCTGTGTGCCCTGAACCACCTGGCTTTGTTTCACCAGGTGTCCCCAGGTATTACCATGTTCTTATTATAGAAAAATGAAGAGACACACTTGAGGTCACAAAGCCAGTCAATGTCTAAGATAGAGTGCATATCTCAGACAAGACTTTAATTTAGAGATTTCTGTAGTATGTCAAAGCCTACAGATAATCCTCCTGATTACAGCTGAAGATCTACATGCACACCTACAGGCATATAGGCCCTTCGGATGTAGGTCTACAGGCATATACATTTTTTTCATTATAAAATTATTTGTACTCATTGGAGAAACTGACCAGAAGAAAGAAGAAAACGTACCTCACCACAGCAATGCAGTTGTTATTGCCACTTGCTGCAAACTTTTCAGTGAGCCAGATTCTGCCTGATTCCACAGTGGCATGGTGTGTGGGAATGAATTTTCTGGGACCGAGTTAATCATCTGCTATAAGACCATTTCGAACGATGCATTCAATCTGTTTTCCTGTGTGCTCAGCTTGCTTAACTTAGCCTTTAAGAAAGCAATCTCACCAACCCTGCTATGCTTTGGAGTTCCAACATAATTAGCTCTTACAAGGTAAGTTGAATGCTTAGCTTTAATCATATGCCATGTTCCCCATGTCTCCCTCGGGACCCTTCCATGCTCTGACTCAGAACTATATGCAAAGATGACATTCAGTAATTAGACTTAAAAACACCCATTGGAAGCAGCAGCGACCCTGAAAACTGTGTGTGCCCCACAAATGTTGAACGCAACGTGGCCATAGATTGATGACATCTGTCAGTGGTTTTGTGTGCTGTTTGGGATCAGTAGTGTTAGAGAAATAACTCCTTCCCTTGTAAACTCTGGTTAAAGATTCCTTAATAAAAGTGGTGGGAGATCAAACAGTCCTGAAGGGAAGTTCTGAGGACAGGTCAGGCCTACGCTTGTGTGAATGTCTCCGAGAGCTGGATTCTTAGATGTGGCACTGCTCCAATGGTGTATCAGGGGACTATGGCTAGAGTTCATAGTTACTTTGCCTTCCTAGAGGCTACTTGTCTGCATTCATTTGATGGGTTAGTTTTTCTTTCTTCAGAGCTGAGGTCTTCATACAGTCACAGTGCTTTCTAACCCTGCGCTAGTGGGGCCTCTGGGTGGTTCTTCCACACCTTTGGTTAAATGCTTGATTTCTAGTTTTTCCACTTGCCGCTCCTGAATCCTGCCAGACAATCTAATTTCCACCTTCCCAAACTGCTTTTCTTCTAACCTATTCCAAGTAGAGTGGGGAAAAGAGAGCAGTCAGGAACTAAGTCTCCTTCTACCTGTAGCTGTGTGACTGTGAGCACTGTGAATGTGTGAAGCCCTCAGCACTGACTTCATCTTTAAATGAAGTTTGGCTCAGGTGGTTTAAGAGTTTTTGTTTGTGTTTGTTTTTCTTTGTTTTTGAGACATGTTTTAAACACCTGTGGTCTAGGCTGGCCTGGAGCTCATTAGGAAGCCCATGTGGTCTGGAGTCCCTGGATCTTTCTGTGGGATTGCTGGGACTAAGGGTATGGGCCACCACACGGCTCAGACGACTTTTAAATTTTATCTATTTATTATTATGATCATTATTTGTCTTTTTGAGACAGGATCTCCTTGTAGCCTCACCTGGCCTAGAACTCAATCTCACAGGGATCCTCCTGCCTCTGCCTCCCAAGTGCTGGGATTAGGCACCACACTCAGCAACTTTCAAATTTTTATTTATTTATTTTGAGGCACGGTCTCACTGTGCTTCTGGTTGGCCTGGAACTCGTTATGTAGTCCAGTCTTACCCTGAACTTGCTGGGGTCCTCCTGTCTCAGCTTCCTGAGTGCTGGGATTACAGATATGAGCTGCCACACCCCACATCCCCTTAACTCATTGTTTAAGAATTCCATTATTGTTAACTCGTGTTATGGTACAATGCCCAATAACCCAATCTATCAGAAGAAATCGTATTTTAAGGTTGGTCTACTCTTCTTAGTCCCAATTAATGTATTCATATATTCGTTCATTACCTTATATATTCATTTCATAGGTACTTCCTAAGCTATCCACTAGAAGCCGGAGCTGCACAAGATTACACGGTAGTGTGTCTAGCAACCTCAACCTTATTATACAAAGAGAATACAGACAAAAGAAAAGGTAATTATGAAAAGTACAATATTGACATTTTGAACATATGTGAATCTTAGCCCTGCTAAAGGAGCAACAGTAGCCGGCATCATCTGGCAGAGCCTATTTACAGTCACGAATGAAGCAAGATTCTTTCCGTCTTTCATGAATCTTTATTTGCTGAGCTTCATCACTCTACTGCAATTATAACTATCATTTCTTATATTAATTTCCTATATTATTTAAGTATTCTTAAATAGTTAGCTTTTGTTATGTTCCTACATGGAATGAATGCACAGATAGTAGGAAAAGTTATTGTAAAATCTTTTACAGTTTATTCCTGGTAAATCAATACATACTCTTCGTCTATGGGTCTGATTTAATGAGGACCAACGGGAATCCAAGCAGAGCCCTGTGTACTGGTAAGATGAACTCTTACACTAAGCGTCCTTCAGCAAGGCCTTTTGGGTTGTATCTCTCACAGTCCGCAGGAAATTCATGATGTCGGTGCCTCCGGTCCCCCTTCCCTCTAGGTCTGTGGACTCCTTGGATGTGTGGCCCCCCTTGGGCCTCTGTCTGGCAGGAATCACAATGTACTTAGCTACTATCTGCAGATGGTAGTTCCTCAGGGAGAGCAGGCCCTGCACACACTTGTCATACACTTTCTGCAAGTCATCACTGCCTCTTGAAATGACAAACTCCCGGACTGAGGGGCCTGACTCTAAGGAGCGAAGAAAGTTCTGGTGGGCAGGTGGCATGTATGTCCTCATCTCCTGGAGGAACTCAGTGGCAGATCCTACGGCAAGACAAGGACAAGTGAGAAGGAGGCCAAACCCTCCCGGAGACAGGGAAGGAAGAAAGGCAGAGCAAGGTCAGTATCTGTAGCCACAGGGGGCAACTCTGACGGGGAGGTCATCCTACTGAAAGGCTGAACAGCTATCAGATTAGTTTTGCTGCTAGTAATTGAAAACTCCGTAGTCCTGGAGGCAGAATCAGCAAACTTTCTCATAATATTTGTTCGGCTCACTTCATCTTCCTTTCCTCCTCCCTCTTCCCTTTCTCTACTTGATTTTACTAGAAAGGGTCTCACTGTGTGCCCCAGGATGGCTTTGAACCTGCAGTACTCCTGTTTCAGCCTCCTGAGTGCAACACCACATCTGGCTCTTGTGGTCTCTTTTTTTTCTGTCTTATTTTATTCTTCTAAGAGGGAATGTGTAATCTTCTATGCTTGTCAGATCATGACACTAAGTCTGAGAGAGTTTAAGGAATCTTCTAGAAATATATCTGGATGAAGAAAACATTTTCACCTAGCACGGTACTTTCCTTCCTTGTTGACTGAACTTAAAAAAGAAAGGTACAAAGATTTTCATCCTCTGCACTGAGTACCCCAGAAGGCACGCAATGACAAAGGCCATCAGATGAGGCCTCACCCTGGGTTGCTGGGTCACAGGACTAAGATGACTGCACTCAGCCCTGCCCTATCGCTGAGGTCTCCCAACTTCTGACCACAGCTATGTGTCATTTTCAGAGCATGTGACTGGATTCTCCAGAGGAAATCAGGCTGTGGCTAGCTGGTTAGCAATCAAGATGAAGATTAAGATAACCTTGGGGTTGAACTTTGGCTCTGCCTCTTTCTAGCTGGCAAACAGGGGGCTTGACACATATCTGTGAAATGAGGCAAAGGCTCACAGGCTGTACTGAACAGACGCTCCTGAAGTAGCAGGTGAGCTGGAGAGACCAGAGGCAGGGTCCTTAGCTGGCATTAAGATATGGTCACATCAGTGAAAAGACTCAGTCACCATCTCTACCTACCTCCACCAGTGCTCTGTGCTACTCCCAGAAGGACATCGAGGCACTGGAAGAGGCTGCTTTGTGCTGCACTGCTCCCTGCAAATTTCTTTGGGGTGTCCCATACTCCCTCGTAGAGAAGACCCTCTGACAGCTGGGGGCGGCCTTTCCAGCTAGACCAGAAAGGAAAGAAAATTTGGATTAATTGCCAATTTTCAGGTAAAAAAATCTTACATTAATGGTAACCAATGGCGGACTAGACTTTGCAATTCTTCTACACCTCCGGACCACGTTCAAGCATGAAAATGATAAACGATGTAGCCTCGGGCACTCTGATGCACTTTCTGAGTGGGACCTTCCTTTCGCTCTGGTTCACATCTTTGCTGTGACTAGCTTTCCCACCCCCTTCCAGAGCACATCTGGCCAAGCAGTAACCGTGAAGGCAGTCTACGCTTTTTCTACAGTACTGATTTTAGTATACAGGTTGTTTTCTACACCCAAAGACTAGGGACCAGCAATGGGGATTTGGTGTGCTCTTTATACTAACCGGAAGAACAAATTCAACTGTCAGACTACATACCCGGACAAATACACGCGAAGAACATTGAAAAATAGGCTTGGGTCCACATATTCTGTGAAAAGATGGAATGTTTACTAAGTAAGCAGCACCAGAGGTACACAGAGAGAACTTAAGGCACTGTACACAACTTCAGCACAGACTACAAGAAAGGCATCAGGGTGGCCTCTAGAAAAAGCTTCTGTTCTCTCTGGGAGGAGCCAGCTCATCACCTTCCTAAGCTCCTGAAGGTGGGTCTGCTCCAAAGCCTCTGTTGAGGACCCACCAAGCCACTAGGCACCACCAGGCAGGTTAGACTGTCTCCTTAGCACTACTCTATCTACTGACCCAAAGCTTGCAAAAACAAACTACAACCAGGCATGTAGTTCAATGGTAGGGTCCTTGCTTCACATTTGTGAGGCTCTGAGCTGTGGGGCTCTATCACTAGCATCACAAAACATAATAAAATGAAAATCCAGCAGTCCTGGGTCACTCTAAAGCTTACTAACATTTGATTTGAAGGTTTTCTCTTCAAAAGCAATCAGGGGGCTGGAGTGATGTGGTTAAGAGCACTGGCTGCTCTTCCAGAGGACCCAGGTTCAGTTCCCAGCATGTACATAACAGCTAACAACCATCTGTAACTACAGTTTCAGGTGACCCAACTCCCTCTTCTGGTTTCTGTAGGAATTACATGCAAATGGTACATTTACATACATGTAAGCAAAACACTCACAAACATAAAATAAATAAATAAAATAAAAAAATAATAAAAAATAATAAAATAAATTAATACATCAACACATAAAAAGGCAATCAGCAGTAAGTCCAAACTCACAGACAAAGAAATTTGTTAAGTTCAGCTGGAAAAACAGATTTCCCTAGCAAAGGTCTGGGTTTTGTAGATTTCGAAACAACTTGAACACGATGGCTTTTTTCTGTTGTTACTTGGTGCACTTGTGAAGAAACACAATTAATGGGGCCTAAAGCTCATTTTTTTCAGCATTTAAAATTGTCTTTGCATTAAGCAGGTTTCTTTGTGGATTTTGGTAGCAGGCAAAGAAGCTCCTTGGAGTTAAACAGACTCAGCTTAGAATTTGGATTTATTGTTCATTACCCTCCTAATCTTGATCCGTTTACTTTAGAATCCCTTATCTGCAGAATGAAGATAATAAGACCCGCCACAAGTGTGATGACTTAGTATGATGAGCAGGACTGCAGGATGGGTACAGTTCAGTTCATTTTTACTTCACAGAAACCTTTGACTATTCACAGTACTTGCCGTGGATTTCCTGAAACACATTCAGGGCTTCTTTTAAGCAAACAGCTATATCTAGTAGTGCCTTTTGCAAGGTGTCCTGGTCCTGATGTTGCACTGCACTTAATACAATGGGAATCACCTTAAAAATAAAAATATAAATCCAAATAATTAAGTTCTAGCCATAAACATTGACAAAGAATAAATTGATTGTGTCATAATCTGCCAATTAAGTTTATGTATTCATTTATATTTCTTGTGTGTACCTGTATGTGTATGTGCGTGTGCCTGTGTGTGCACATGTGTGTGTGGATGTGGTGGGCTAGACTGGCTGGCCTGTGAGCCCCAGGGACCTACCTGTTTCCTTCTTTCAACCTTACAAGTGCCTGCCACCATGCCCCAATTTTTTTTTTTTTACATCAGTTCTGGGAGTAGAATTAGGTCCTTGTGTTTGCACACAAGTACTTTACCAACTGAGCCATCTCCCCAGACCCCTCCATTTTTATTTCTAGTCAGAACAATTGGATTTATGTCACTATGACAAGTTACTTTGAAGATTTTTATTTTTTACTGGAATTTCTATTTTGATTTGAAATACATGGCCCCTTGGTTTTGTTTTTTATGTGATTTACAAAAATAAATATTTCTTTCTAATAAAAGATGTATTACCTCTAATTAAATGATCAGATGCTTCATTTAACCAGGATAAAGTCAATTCAAGCTACTGTAGTTCATTTGTTACACACTTGCTCTGCCTATGTGAAGGGACAGGACACACCCAACAATGAGTGCACATACCTTGATTGCAGGAGAAGCTGCTATTTCCACCAACAGAGAGACCAAGAAGAAGCCTTTACTGCAGTCCCCACCAGGAAATCGGAACAAAATATCCATGTTCCTAAGAAACCAATTAAGGTAGGCAAACAATTAGAGAAAATTAATAGGTATCTTTGTAGAATAACATACTTTCCAAGCATCTTTATGCATCCTACTTTATTCTCAAAATGATTTTGCCAGAGTGGTACAGCAGGTCCAAACAGCTTTATGACATATTTTTAAAATATTTTATTTATTATTATTTTTATTTTATGCATATGAGTGCTTTGCCTGCCTGTCTGTAAGTGCTCTACATGCATGCAATCATGTGGAGGGTAGATGGGGGTGGTGAGATCTCCTGGAACTAGGCATAGTTGTTAGCTGTCATATGGGTGCTGGGAACCAAACAGGTCCTTTGCAAGAGCAGTCAATGCTCCCAACCACTGAGTCATCTCTCCAGCCCCCATGACACATTTTGAGAATGTTAAGAATTGATTATATCGGGCTCATTCTCTAAGATCATATGGAAGTTAGGCTATATTCTCGCAGCTGGAATTTTGCCAGCACTTGAAAATGGAAACTCACAGTAGGTCTGTTTCCATTATTATTATTTTTTTTACTGATATGTACATTGCCGTAAATATATGCTCAAAACCCTGAGTTCCCTTCCTAGTCACCACCCTCACAACCCCTCAAGGCTGGTTAGATTTGGTTATCTTTTTCTGTTGAAGTTTCATCATCAGTGCAGGCATGGCTGCAGATTCTCTATGTCAATGAGTTTTGGGGTAGTTCAGCCCGGGATTGCTGAAGTTTGGCCATCCTCGGGCTCATCCTGCCACACATTCTGCTAATTCTTCTGTTTTAAACAAAATTGTTATTTAAAGATATGATTTAAATTCCCGATCATTACCAACGAAGTCCTTCACAACATTTTCCCTTTCTACAGTGTTATTTTTTATCATTAGACACTGTGGCACGAGCTGGCCTTCTGCTCCAAGCGCACAGATGCTTGTCACTCCAAGGCCTTCGCCACTGTGGCTTCCTCTATTCCCATCACGCCTACCATTTTTTTTGTGCTAGTGAATCCCTCCCCAGCCTTCCGGACCCCAGCACACCTATTCAAGGAGTCCTCTCTTTAAATCTCTGATCTGGTTAGCTCTCCGAGCACCTTATCTCCTTCCCCTCTTCACATGGCACTTTACAGTTTTCATGTATTTCTGTTACCTCTCCATTAGTCAAACTTCACCTATGCATGATTAAACCTGGGATATTTATAATAGTTCCCAAACGTTTAGCTAAGTTTAGTACACAGATTAAAATAGTAAGGACTGGATTTAAAAGAACAGGATATGACTATTAGGTGATGTTCCTAACTACCTCTAGTCACAGGGGTCATTGTGTCACAGAAACATAGATGTGGACATTTCATGTTTATGCATATCAATTACATATACACAGATGCAGGTAGCTTCCTTGTATGGCTCTACAGCTAAAATATCAAACAGAAACAGTCATTTAATACTCAAAGATGCAATTAAGTGCTGTAATTATTTGCCCTTTAAATATTTATTTTAATTACTATCTGCCTAAATTCAATCACTTAAAAATGTATTTGGAATATACAGATAAGCACATGTTCATTTTGGATATCAAGCAATTCTTAGACTAAAAGAGTAGCAAATACTTACTCATACGACATGGGCCTTAGGAAAACAGCCACCACGAAGTTACGTATCAGTCGGAAGAGATGAAGAAAACCAATTTAAAAATTAGATGACTATTGGTTTGAATACTAATAATTCAGTAGTGTTAAGATATAGCTTTAAAAAGGGGGTTTGTATTTCTCAAGATTGCACTGCAAACATTTAACTTAGAAGTTATACTTTCTAGAACAAATCCTTCCATCTTGAGGTAGTCTCATGAGCAGACTACTGTTTACCACAAGCCTACAGTTGCAGGGGTCTATGACCTCTTGCCTCATTTCTGATCCCATCACTCAATAGTTCCTGAGCAGGCCGCTCGGAGTGCCCAAGTGCTGCTGCTTCTCCTGCGAGGGCTGTGTTCATTCTTAAATGTAATTGGTACTTGGAAATTAAATTTGCAGAATGTCCAAATATGTTAATTATAGGAAGTTTGACATTAACAAGTGTGCATTTGATGATTTTATTGATATGCAATCTACTAACAAACCCACCAGCTAGGTATAGTGATGCACACTTGTAAAGAACTCAGGAGGTTGATGCAGGAGACAGGAAATTCAAGGCCACTTAGGGCTACATGGTGAAATGCTGTCAGAAGAAAGAAGAAAGAAAAAGAAAGAAAGAAAGAGAGAGAGAGAGAGGAGGGAGGGAGGGCAGGTCACTAACTTTTTTTTTTATGTGTATGAGTGTATTGCCTGTATGTATATTTTAGAAATAAAAAAGAAAGAAAGAAGGGGGGGAGAGGGGGGAGGGGGGGAGTGCAGGTCACTAACTTTTTTTTTTATGTGTATGAGTGTATTGCCTGTATGTATATGAGTGCACTCATGTCATGCAATGCCACAGAGGTCAGAAGAGGGCTTCGGATTCCCCTGGAACCGGAGTTAAGGACGGTTAGTAGCCACCATGATCCTCCCGCTAACTTTTAATACAAGACCAACTGATTTTTTTAAAACTTATCATTATCGTGTGTGTGTGCACAGTGGGAGGGGGCATGGGTGCGGAGGTCAGAGAACAACTTTGTGGAGTCAGTTCTTTCCTTCCTTTATCTGAGTTCTGGGGACTAAAGTCGGGTTTCCAAGCCTGTGCGGCACGCACCTTTACCGGCCTGCGCGGCATGCACCTTTACCGGCTTTGCCATTTTTCCAGCCCCCAAACCAACTAATTTTTGATAAGGCAATTTAGAATGTATGTTCCTGATGCAGAGGAGGGAACTGAAGAAAAATTGAAGCATAAAAGAATTGTCTTGAGTAAAATAACACACACCCCAGTTCTTGCTCTAATCACACTTCACATACCCAGTGGGGTCCTTTCTCCTCCAGTTTGCCAGGACACAGTCTGCATAAACCAGAATAGGGGGCAACCCCAGCTTCTCAGAGAGTTTGCAGTAAGGAACGGCAATGTTGCTCGGCAACACCTGAGTAAAACATACTATTCATTTTAAAAATTTTAAATTATTTTTATTTTATGTATATGAGTGTTTTGCCTACATGTATATATGTGCACCATGCACATACGATGCCCACAGAGGCCAGAAGAGGGTGTCAGATCCCCTGGAACTAGAGTTGTGGATGGTTCTTAACTGCCATGTGGTTGCTAGGAACCAAACTCGAGTCCTCTGTGAAGGCACTCAGTGCTCTTAACCATTGAGGCATCTCTCTAGCCCTAAAACGCATTGTTCATTTTTAATTATCAAACTGCTTATTTCCTCTGCTTCCTGGTTTCAAAAGTTTAGTTCTGATTCAGGTGCTTTGAAGCCAAAATGTGCTATTTTCCTTGTGTGCATTTCATAATGCAACCCCAGTCACTGTTAAATGTTCATGGTTTGGACTGGGCTGTTGGGGGCCACAATTTGGCCATAGGGGATAAAAATGAAACAAAAAAAGAAAAGAGGCCTGCAGGCTTTATTTTCTGATGGCCTTGTGTTATTTCACTCCGTCCTTTCCCCATCAATCCCAAAAATATTTGTTGAACCTTTTTTTTTTTCTATGCAAAATATCTTGTTATTTAGTGGCAATAAGAAAAGTAAACTCAGTTGTCTCAAAGATGCCTAAAGTCTTTGTAATTAAGAACACTGGATGTGTTACCCACAAGCAGTGTGAACGGACTGCTGTCCTGGAGCTCACTGAAGAAGAAAACATGCCTGGACTTTGTCTTTTTTTTTATTTAAAAAAGTTATTTTTATTTTATGTGTACGCATGTGTTTACTTGCATGTATATAAGTGCAGCTGTGTCATGTAATGCCTGCAGAAGCCAGAAGACAGTACAGATCCCCTGGAACTGGCTTTACAAACAGTTGTTAGCCACTATGCGGATGCTAGGAACTGAGTCTGAATCATTTGCAAGAGCAACCAGTGCTCTTAACCGCTGAGCCATCCCCCCAACCCAGACTTTTGTGTTTTGTTCATTTTCAGAAAGCTTTACTATACAGGGCATTAGTAGCAGGCATGTTGATGTAGGCCTGTGATCCCAGTTCTTGGGAGGTCAATTTCATTCTCATGTTAATGAAAACTCACTATGTAAGAAATACCAGAAAACCTACAAACCTTTCGAACATCTCCAGCCCCTCGATCCCACACGTACGCCATGGTGATGCACCCTAGAACCAAATGTGCCAGGCGCTGGGACTTGTGTCCTTGGAGTTGACTGATGCTGAGTACTGGTAACTGAGAACATGTGGAGAAATTTAACATTAATCTGGCAATGTTTTAAGATTTAAAACCAAGATTAAATTATGAAGAAGCTACACAGGTTTCCAAACCTTCTCAACTTCTGCTCGAAGTCGCCCAGTCTCAATCAGAGCAGGCAGATTCTTAGCAATGAAAACCCAGGCATCATAAACGTGAGGTAGCTCCTCCTAAAAACAAGGAAAACCAGATTATAGCTGTTGATTCGCTCATGGACGTTACTGTGAAGTGGGGTTGGCTTTCCGTAGATTGTCTATCTCGCCTCTAACTTCATTTTGTGCCCTCAATGAACACCTTCTGAAATACCCACCCCCACTTTGCACCTGGTGGATGCATGACTAGAGTCCTCTACATGCTGCTTTCCTGTATTGTATGGAATATACCATATGGATTACGCTTTTTAACTAAGCCATTTAGTATCTACTGCTGTGTCTTCTCAGATACATTCCTGGAATTAAGAAAAATGAGATTGCATTAAATATCGCTAGGGGATCAGGCACAATACTCAGTTCCATTTCCCACTTAATTCTTCAATGGCCCAAGAAGTTATCTCGATTTCACATATATAAAAATCCAATTTATGTAACTTATTTTGTGTATAATTTATTTGTAATGCAACCATAAGCATCTCCATCTTTCAGAACCCACATTCTTTTGATGTCTCGATATCTGATGGCAAGGGCTATGCTGTGTTTCTACTTGTCTCTTGCAAGGCCTAGCAGGCTACTGAGCATTTACTCCCTTTTCCATCTTGACTACACAGAGTCAGGTGCTGTGGCCATAACTTTCGCAGTTTGAGGTGTGACAGTAGAGCTAATTGTGTGCGTGTGCATGTGCGTGTGCGTGTGCGTGTGCGTGTGTGTGTTTTGGCAAAACTGATTTTGCCATTTTGCTCTAGCTGACTGTTGCTTTCCCCCGTGTCTTTGCGCAGCCATCCCCACCGCAGCCAGCCAGGCAGAACGTTCTTTACAGGCAGTTTCAGGGAGTGCCTTGTTTCTACAAGGCTGGGAAATTTAAGAGCAGCCAGGCAGCAAGTTCAGGTAGCCTGTCCTCCCACCCAGACTATCTGAAACTTTGTTAACTGAAAACCTCTTCATGGCTGACCTGCCCCTGGTCTGGTATAACAATGTAACTATGGGTATTGGCTTTGCCCCTGGTACAATGTCATTGTGGTTTAAAGCTTTATAAACCCCATCCTGCTTCTCCTCAGGGTCGAGAGTTCTTTTGTGCATTAGTCCCCTCTTGCTCACTAGCTATTAATAAAGGACTCCCAATAATTTGGCCCAAAGTTCCATGGTATGTCTGGCTCAGTATTGCATGTGTACGGGTACACACATATAGGTAAGTAGAGGCCAGAGGAAATAATCTCAAGTGTGTCATTCACCCTCTTTTTGAGACAGGGTTTCTCAGTGACCTTGAACTCACCCATTAGGGTGGGCTGGCTGGTCAGCAAGCCTGGGGATCCAGCTGGCCCCCCCCTCCCCAGTGCTAGGGTTACAAGTACACACCACCTAGCTGGCTTGTTTCTTGGCTTCTGGAACTGAATTCATGTTCCTGCGTTTGCATGGTATGTCTGAGCCATCTCCTCCACCCAGGAATTTCTTTTTCTTCACAATGCCACAGATTAGTTTTTACTGCAGATCTGAGCAGCTTCAGCAGATGACTGTCTCCTTTGGTAGATGGAGACTGCTCCCCTGTACACGCAAAGGAAGCACTTGACCGGCTCCTAATTCTCTGGAGACTTGAGACATGCTGCTCTTGTACTGTGGGACTATTAAGCAAAGTAGAAGTTACTGAAACTTCAGTGCCAGATGCATTGGCCACTACTTAGGCTCTGCCCTGTGACTAAGCAGGGACAAAAGGGAGATTTGTGTCCTGGGTAGGATGGGTAGAATGCTTGAGAGGTCATGACGTATGCAGAAGAGCACAGGGTTTAGAACCTTCTGGAATTTGCCAGCCATTATTTCCAGGCTCTGGTTGCCTGCTGAAAGCAATGACAGGGAGTCGGGGGATGGGGAGGGGCTGCCGTTTGGCCACTTCCTCCGTCTCCATAGGTGGCTGGCTGTTTTGCGGGGTTTTTGTTTTGTTGTTGTTGTTGTTGTTGTTTGTTTGTTTGGATTTTTTGCTTGTTTTGGTTTGTTTTTAGAGACCCCGTCTCTCTGTAGTCCCAGCTGGCCTGGAACTTGCCATGTAGACCACGCTGGCTTCCACGTCACAGAGATCTGCTTGTCTCTGCTTCCTGACTGCTGGGGTTAAGGCCTGGCACCACCAGGTCCGGCACCATACACTGTTTCTGTCCCTGCCCTCCACAACTCCCAAAAGGCATCTCACAAATCGCCAGTGTCACCAGAACTTCTAGGCACGGGTCCCGAAGAGAGGCCAAGGCTGAGCCCCGCCCATGCGCTCTCCGGGTGCCCCCTCCCTTAGGCTGCTTCCAGCTGGGCCGCCGAGTCACCGTACCCCAGATGCTGAGTACACAGGGGCCCGCAACCCTGGCTACGCTGCGCGGGGTGTGGATGGAGGGCCCGGCACTCACTCGGTGCTGCGGGTGAGGGCGCAGAGGCTGCGGCCAAGCTCACCGGCACCGCATTGGATGGGGAGGACCCCTGGCCCTGGGCCCTGCCGCCGCCTCTCGAATCCCCGCGGAGCTCCGCTTCCTGCTGCTGAAACGCGGGTGCTGGCTCCGGGCTACCCTGAACCCTGCGGGGCCTGGAGACTCTCACCCTGGAGCCCGGCTCCGCTCCCCCTACAGTTCTGCGGGTCTAACTCGCCAAGACGCCCCAGCTCACGGGCTCCAGGCTCTGGCTGGTTCCCGGTGGTCCTCGGCGTCCCAGAGCGCTGTGTGTTCTTTGTGGAGGACTAGGTGAGCGCAGGCTCATCCATGGGGCTGCCTTGTGCTCTTCTCGAGTTTTGATAATTAGAATGTTGGTGATAAATTGGTTTATGTCACATTCTTTACAATCCAATTTAGTGACGTGGTCTTTGTGTAGTTGTTTTTAATTTTTTTTTTAGATGGTCTGGGCTCAGATTTGACACTATCGCCCTTCCTTTGCCTCCTGTACTGGGATTATAGCTGTGCACCAGTTTGCATGGCTGGGACACGTGGTTTTTAAGACAAGCATCCTCCCCCCTTCCATATACATTGCGTGGGGTAGCCAAAACTTCCATAAAATTCAGTAAGAATAAGCACAGGACTTTTAAATTATGCTCAGGAAACAAGCGTTATCACCAGAACACAAACATTTCTTGCTATGTCATAAGCTGAATCAATTAGAAGCACATACTTTATATGATTTGACATATTTCACGAGAGAAGGGAAATTTCGTATGACTCATGGGCCCTTTATAACTTTGGTATTTCAAAATGACTGTTGAAAATGCTCCTGTTGTGAGCCAGCCTTCCACGTGAACAGAGCATTTCTTTGCAAAGCTAAAATGGTTTCCTTCATTTCTCTCTATATCCATGTTAGGTAAGTGAGACCTACATCTCTGACTGCATTTTGAGGAAGAAAACTCTAAGAGCAGCGAGACTCACTTATTTAGACTCTGTCTCTGTTTTGCCACTACCCATTTGTTTAAGAGAAACTACTGAAACACAAATGCTCAGTAGAAATTCTCCTGTCCAGGTAAATAAGAGAATAAAAGTCATCTTCCCATATTTCTCTGTGCCTCTTACCAGGGGCTGGGGCAGAGCGAAGCCCACATCTTCATCTATGTGGTATTCTTGAAGGATCTTCCTAGCACTGTCCATAGGAAGTACTTGTTCACGGGCCATGGCAGTCTCCTCTGGTCCTCCTCAGCCACAGAAGAGCTTCCCAGCATCTCTTTATAGACACGATTAGGCAAGTCACTACAGCTGAACACGTAAGCAGGGTGACTTCCACTCTGAGGATAGTTTCGTTTTCTACTTTCTGTATTTGTTGTAGTCTGATAACAAAACCACAAATATCTATGTTCATCATACGATGAAACTCCAGGTTTAGATTTCTTTTCAAGCTTATCACTTAAGAGCATCAATTGCTCACCTTTTTGCCTCTCCAGGTGGCCAGTGCCCCACTCTGGTGCCCCAGTACACATAGGCCACAACCCTGGAAATGCCACCATCCCACAGCAGTTTGAGGGGCCAGGACCTGTCACCCCAGCAGGAGGACCCGACTGAAATTATGAGAATCATGGAGACAGGTGACCAGAAAGAGCATTTTACTTCAGGGAAACATTCAGATTTTTAGTTGAAAATAAAAACCATTACCATTTAGCCATTTGTCATTGGCTTTGTTAAGCTCCTGGGGGGTCTTTGAAACTGTCAGTGTCTTGTTTCAGTAACCCTGAAATACACTCTGCAATACAGGTTAGTCAATGACTCTGAAGAATCAGAAAGATGCACACCCCTCCCATTTTCTCTTACCTATACTCTTGTCTGCGTTAGGCACAATAGAAAGCTCCTCTTCAGGTGACTCACTTCCAGGAAGGCCTCCCTGCTTCTCTGCCTGCCAGGGACTGATGTGGCAACATCTCCTCACCTCTGGAAACTTCCTAATGTGTCCAAAACTGAAGCAAAGGACCAAATACCCCCAAAATGTTTCTCAAAATACAAAACTGAGTCTCTGCTTGGAAAAGGTTGTCAGGGCGCACCGCACTCAGTAGGTCATGTCCACAAAGATACATTGCTTTTTTTCTTTTGTTTTGAGGCAGGGCCTGACTCTGTAGAGGTACCTATGGTATCTTTGATGATCAGAGGAAGGGAGAATGTTAGCTTAAGGTGTATGAAAAGACTTATCATCCAGGACATAAACTTCTGAAATAAACTAACACACCACAGTTCTGGAATGTTCTGTTGTAGCTCTTGACATTATTACTGTGTTATGGCTTTTCTTTGACCAGATGGTTTTACAAGAACATGTTTCAATTGTAAAAAAAAAAAAAATAGGAAAAAAGCAATGTATCTCTTGACATTATTACTGTGTTATGGCTTTTCTTTGACCAGATGGTTTTACAAGAACATGTTTCAATTGTAAAAAAAAAAAATAGGAAAAATTGATACTAAAATCACACAGCAAAGAGAACACAACGATAAAGTTTTTTACAAACAAATGATCCATGAGGCTGAGTCATTTAGAACCAATTGAATTTGGTCCAATCAATTTGGTACAAGGGGTCATGAAGTCCGCTTATAGCTACAAGATATGATACAAGATGAGATGCTTACATGGAACCCCATTGTTCCCTCTGGAAAATAAAGATGTCAGCACAACATTGGCCATGGGAAAACAGATGAATGTAATCACAGAATGAGGAAACATCTCTTGGGACTGGCTTCTAAGAGCCATGACTTAGTACAGTTTGATTTACACCCACTCATTCAGGGAACTCCATCCCACCCTTGACGGCAAGAACAGCATGTTTTACCACTTCAGTTTTGTCTTTACCCTTTTCACATCCTCTAAGTTCAACCTCTTTCATATTTCTGAATTATTTCTGAAATATTTCATATTTCTTGATTTTTCTTGAATTGTAGCCATACCTTACTGAAAGCTGCTCTTTACCTGAGTTCAAAAGAGAGAATCCATTGTAAGCTTTTACAGAGATGCTTTCATCCTCTTCAGCTCTTCCCCTGCCCAGGTCATAAGGCCAGGGAGCTTGGAAATAAGAGTTCGGCCTGGGTTCTAGTGCCTCCTTCAGCTACGTCCTGTACGAATCTGCTTTCCTTGTTACTATTCCCCGCCTGATAACTTGGATGTACGTTCCTCTATCGTGATTGCTATGCACTTCATTTCCCATTGCTCCATCAACAGCTACACACGGAAATGCTGTTGCTCGTTCCATTGCAGTTGGCACCCACACCAGGCACAAAGACTTTTCAAAGATCTGGCTGGACATGGCAATACACCCATAATCTCAGCCCTTTGGAGTGTCAGACAAAAGAATCATGAGTTTGAGGTCAGATCATGCTACCTAACAATATGTAATTAGCTAATTATTAATTAAAATAAGAGATCTGTAGAAAAAATTATCCAGGGAAATGCCTAACCAAATTTATTCCCTCTTAGTAGCTAAACCTTGACATACATCCTGCCGCCTCCTTAGCATTGTGTTATACTCATTTATAAAACAGTATCATTTGGAAAATAGGAAAGTTCTCAGTTAAAATTATCTAGGACATACACAAGGAATTAAAAATCATTGAAATGTTAACAGCTACTTATTCTCCATGAATACTTAGATAGGTATGTTTTACAACAGTTTTGGTTCAAATTCAAAATAGTCAGGAATTTTCTGAAAACTTTGCTTGCATGACCAAGTTGACCTTCATGATTAGCTAATTAGGAAAATTTCAGGATGTTTCTGGAAGAGAATTTTGGTCATTCAGGGATTTCTGTGCTTTTAGTTGCTTGAACGAAGCACAATAAAATCTTCCTTTAATGAAGAAGACATTATCTCAGACCACAAAGTATTCATACCACCTTGATGGAGATCGAATAGATACTAAAAAGTGACAGCCTCATACATGATACAGCACCATGGAGAACACAGACTGTATAGAAAGGCCTACAGGGGACTGACTACAAGAATAAACAGATTTTAAATTGGTTTCTTTAACATATTAAAAATTAATGTCAAAATTGGGAAAGACTTCATAAATCACAGCAAATGTGAATAAAAAGCAAATGAATATGACACAATTAGTACAACTGAGAATAGAGTGCATGAACTTGCAGATGATATGATTATAATGGAATACATATGCAGGCACGCATGCCCACATGTACACACACCCATGCACACACACAAACGAGTAAGAGTCAAAAGACAGTGGGTACCCTGAGGAAATCTAACATAGACATAATCTCAGTCTTGGATGAGGAGAAATGGTAGAGGCAATATTCATGGGGGCAGAGGCTTTTGAATGATGAGAGACACAGAGTCCCAAACCCACACATACACCTCCAACAAGGCTAATGCAGACTACAGCTGATGGTAATAACACTGCTCAAAATCAAAGGCAAAATCACAGATTTAATTTTTCCCAGAAAAAGTGAAGACCTTTAAATGATCAGCAATAGAACTGATAGCTAAAGTCTCACTAGATGAACTCACAGACAATGGGACTGACCCTTAAAGGTGCTGAGAGAAACAGTGTGAGTCAAGCAAGAAACTACTGCCTAACAATACAAAGAAAATTAAAATACTTTCAAGCAAACAAACATAAATGTATTGCCAGCAAATGCACAATCTGAAAATAACATGGAAGGATTTTCGTTTGTTGAGAAATAAAATAATCTCAGAAGTAGAAATAAAAAAAAAATAGTGAGAGAGGTAAAGATCGCTGTGTCTAAATGAATGTCTATGAAACAATGGAAACTGACCGAACAACAGAAGCCTCCAGCTTTGCTTCGATAGACGTGCATGTGTGCAAATTAAATTTAACTATATCACAGCAAGGCATATATTATAAATGCGAGCATGCTAAAAGTGGCATTAGAATTCTTACATATTCTGTGAAGAGAAATGAGAATTTAAAAGAATTTTGAAAATGGGCTGGAGAGATGACTCAGCAGTTAAGAGCACTGGCTGCTCTTGCACAGGACCGGGGTTCAGATCCCAGCACCGGGGTTCAGATCCCAGCACCCACATGGCAGCTAAGAACTGTCCTAACTCCAGTTCCAGGGGTTCAGATGCCCACTCCTGACCTTCATGGGACTGCACAACACAAGTGTACTTATACACATGCAGGCAATACACTCATATACATGAAAGGTAAAAATAAGAATAAATAAAAAATTATAAAAAATAATTTTGAAAGCTTAGCCAATGGAATGAGAAATGTTTGTTTGTAAATAAACTTTAATACAGGAGAAGAGATTTTCAAAGCAGAGAGGGTAGCAAAAAGGCAAGCCAATAGTTCAACCTGTGTAAACTGTGAGTATGGACAAAACATTCAGAAGTGCTAGTACTGGGGTAAGAGAGATGCTCGGTGATTAAGGGCACAGAGTGCTCCTGCAGAGGGCCCAGGTTCAGTTCCCAGCACCCATATGGAAACTAACAACCATCTGTGACCCCAGTTCCAGGGGAGGGAGATCGGACATCCTGTTCTGGTCTTTGGAAGCAATGCACACATGGGTGCACTTACATGCATGCAGGAAAAACACTCATACACATAGAATAAAGATATAGACATCAAAAAATTTTTAAAGTGTAAGTAAAACCGTCCTCTTAAAAGTAATGATGTATGGCTGGGCGTGGTGGCGCATGCCTTTAATCCCAGCACTTGGGAGGCAGAGGCAGGTGGATCTCTGTGAGTTCAAGGCCAGCCTGGTCTACATAGTGAGTTCCAGGACAGCTGGGCTACAGGGAGACCTTGTCTCAAAAAGACCAAAAAAAAAAAAAATTAATGATGTACTATTTAGAGATTTATTTTACCTTTAATTACATTTATGTGTGGGTAACTGTACATGAATACAGGGCCATGGAGGCCAGAAGAGGCTACTAGATTCACTGGAGCTGCAGTTACAGATGGTTCTGATGCTCTACGTGATTCCTGGAAACTGATCTTAGATCCTCTGCAAGAGCAATACATGCTCTTAACCCCTGAGCCATCTCACAAGCACACACTGTGCTATTTACAATGTACAAATGAAATGAAATACAGATAAGCAAAAATAAGAAGAGGAAAAAATACACATCATGTAGACAAACATGCCCAATAGGCAAACATCTTTCAAATTCTGGAAACAGCTCATATAAGAACACGAAGATGAGATTAGGTTAAAATTTGAG